ATACTTCTTCTCCCCCTATCGTTATTCAAGCCGATGAAAGCCTCTCGGTTTGAAATTACTGACTGTTTGGAAGGAAGAGGGGGAGGAAATGTAAGATCAGGGAGCCCCATTCTAACTGTCTGGCAATTAATTGCACCAAATTACATCAATTTACCCTTGAGGACTCAAAGTGAAGCGTCACTGGTGTGCAGTGGCTTCCCTGAGTCATTAATTAGCAAGGAGCACGTTCTTGTTTGTGAACAATGTATGATTTAAGATTGAATTAATTTGGTTAGCATCAAACAGATATCAACAGTTGATATTAGTTAGAGTTGGGGAAAAGCAAGACCCTTAAGATCAAATTAATCAAAGTGATGAAACAGAAGAGTAAGCTGATTTAAAAGTACTTGAAAAGGAACAAATGAGTATTTTGATAAGTTTGAATATAGATCCAATCATCAAATCATATTGTATTAGGACTAATTGTCCAAGACAGAATATCTTCAATTTTCATTTGAAGGGGCATTAATTATGAACACTGATAGATATTAAAAAAAGCATGATTATCAAGTTCAAATTAGACCTATCCCTTTAAAAGCTGGTTAATACTACTTTTTTTTGTAGCAAACTAAATTGATTGCAGCCTGAATATCACACTCTTTCACTACCAAGCTTATTACTAATTAAGCACAAATTATCAAAAGAATAGATATCTTTTCAACAGCAACAGCTGAGCCTGCAGACGTTCTCGTAATGAGGCGTCAACTCTAATTACAGGAAGTATCGTAAAAATGGTATCTGATCATGAGCACATTCAATCATTAAAAGGGCTCACATTGCCAAGGAATTTCAAGTGCAGCATTATGTGAGCAACTGTCAAAAATAGCTTGCGATGTTCAGTAACCAAGCAAGCCGATATCTTACGAATTATCACCTGCGATGCGACGAAAAGAGAGTTTGTTGCCCCGGGTGGTGTGTTAATTAGAATAGGAAGTGGGAGAATACCCTGACATCACTGAGAGGGGTAGAATAGGGTGGAGAGGGGTGCAGGGCTAGACTTGGTGGCACCCACTGAGGAAGTTTTGGATTGGGTGGAAGGGGATGGAAGGTGGATGTAGGGATGGTGGATGTCGGGAAGAAGGGAAACGTGGATAGGCATACATGGGATTGCATGTGAAGACCATAGGTTGTGTGAAGCACTATGATTGACTTCCAGACTAAGGTCGAATGTTTCAAAATACTGCTGCCGTTCATGGTTAGATACTAGGTCACAGAATTAATATAATATTTACAGTGACCAAGTACATGAAACATAATTAATCTTTTTTTGGAGTGGTACTGTTTCCACATCTAACATTGATAACAAACTGTAGTCGATGGAACTCAGCTACTAAAAAGTTATCATCATCAAATAATAAATCATCCCAGTATCACTAGAAGTTTTAAACTACCCGATGGCTCACTATATGTATTTGATCTATAAATGCAGAATTCATTGCTTGAAAGAGATCATTACTCGAATTGCAATCGGATAGACTTACTGTAATTCCTAAAGAATAATTACATTGCACTTTGTAGTATTCCTACTTCCCTTTAAACATCTGTATACATCTAACTTTTGAGTATGTGTCATTTAGGATGATTGAATCCGTCCTAATCTGCTTATGAAAGACAAGGTAAGGACTTATCAGTACAGGTATCCCACAGAACCTTGCTTGGCTTGTAGCCATACAGACATACAGTTGTTCAGATTAAGCAACATTACCTTTGAAAGTCCTATTATTCAAGTAATCAGATTTAAACATGCCACCAGCAGATAATGTAAGTGAAGGTATTGGGGCATATAGAACAATCGGAAATCAAAGATGACACATGCTTAAAGCATAGACCTACTAAGAAGTCAGGGAACATACTCAGTATGTTCGCTGATGACACGCTCTTGCTCTTTCTTTCTCTCTCTCTCTCTCTCTCTCTCAATCACTTTCTCTCTCCCTCTCTCTCTCTCTCTCTCTCGCTCTCCCTCCCTCTCTCTTGCTCTCCCTCCGAGTACCTTCACTTCTGGAAAGGCTTCAGAAAGTCACAAACCAAATCTGATCTGTTACAGGAAAATGACACATTGGAGCACCCATCATTATCTTTCTTCTAATAGATACCCTACGAAGTGGGCTACTCTATTACCAGATCTTTGTTGTTCTACCTAATTCAATTTCCTTTTCCTCCTGTCAAACTATGGCATGTCTTTCATAAACCTACCTTTTTTTTCATATGAACGATAGCAGTGGATGCTCTTTATAGTGACTTGGAAACATTGCCTCAGAAACAAAATCCTCGGTTTAGCTCATGCTGCGATCATAATTATAAACCTTTAGGTAAGTCAGGAATCCCATGACTTCTACAAGCCGATCGCCTGTCTGGTCATTGTTAAACGATGCCTTTAATTCTGATGGATGCTTTTCATCACAGCAATTGCCAGCATGAATCAGATTTCTCTTTATCTATGATCTTTTACAACTAAATACAAGCGTTTCAACCGGTTTCATAATTCATATGTTTCCATTTGAGTATACACTCATTTTCAATAGGCCAAAGCCAGAGATACATCAATCATTGTCATAAATGGGTTAAAATATTAGCTTGCCTAAATTCCTTAAAGAAGGACAAATGAAATAGAGTTTTACAGAGGTTCCTTTTTGAGCAAAAGATACAAAAATAGACAACGTGATGTGATTACACTTCCGGTCTAAATTGTGACTACTGAAGGTGTCCTAAGTTGATTGGCTGTCAAACAACTTAGCATACAATCTCCGGAAACCACTGTTGTTGCTACCAATATTCTTGAAAATCTCGTTCAAGGCTTTTAAAGCGAGACAGATTGTCGTGGACCAAGAGTCCTGACGTCACGCACGTGATTTATTACGCGTGTGAGCGTTTGGGGGCTTAGCGTGAATAGTCTCTGAAACGATCTCCCGCTGATATTCAATCACGGTCATCTTATCGTAGCAACCGGAGTTTAGCCATGCTGATTTAGATCTTCACACCTTATGATACTTTTTAAGGAGACTGACCGTATATCTGTAAAGCGCTTAGAGACATCATAGATGTATTAAGCGCTATATAAAAGGGGAGTTATTATTATTGTTACATGAAGTGATTACACTTTCATTCATGTACCAGAATACTATTTTTGTTTAAAGGAGGCCTGACATCCCTTTTTTGTTCAAGCATTTATTAGTCCCTTATATCATCCCAAATCAATGTTTTAATATCTACTTCTGATAAAACATTAATGTAAAAAACAAAGTTGCTGTGATAACACAATCTGATGTATTGCTAACCTAAACAATGAATGGTTGGAATGGATACACTGAGCACAATAGGAACAATTTACAGCAAGCTCGAGGACAAACTAATAAGGTCTTGAATAGCATCTAGCCTAGCAAGGCAGTGACGTCAAGCATCAGTAAACCCTGATGAAGTGCACCTGAATGCCTGGTTGCACACTGCTTCTTCCAGTATTAAAAAAGTCTATCTTTGGAAGCAAGTAATATTTCAATGGCCGCATATTTTGATATATTACATGTACCTGCAAAGTCGTAAATAGTAGTAAGTAAACATAAATCTATTATGTTTCTCAATCGAAGAGGTCAGCTGAAGATCAAAGTACATGTACACTACTGAGTTTCACAAACCAAAAGATATGACAAAAACACAATCAAACAGAATTTGTATACATTGCTGAATCTACCATTTAATGACTACATTGTTGGATTACAGTATATAGTTAAACTTATGACATCCAACTCCAGAGAAAAAAAAAAAAAAAAAGTACATGAATACTGTAGATCTAGTTCATGTTCTCAGAAGAAACTATCATGGGCTATCATGGGTCACAGGGCACTTCTACTTAAATTCTGCTATTTTTCATTTCTTTGATTTTGCTACTTCTTTGTCCGTTTCATATTCTGGACAAAGACAAAGGCCACCTTGGGAAGTAATTAAGCTCATCATTGCTGCTGAAAATAATCTCTTTGATTTATTGACCCCCCCCCCCCCCCCATTATCTTTTGTCAGTAAATGATGGGGGACAGGAAATTGTTTACGGTACGTCTTTAGTGAGTTTTCTTTTCTTTGAATTTTGCTTCTTCTTTGTCTGTTTCATATTCTGGACAAAGACAAAGGCCACCTTGGGAAGTAATTAAGCTCATCATTGCTGCTGAAAAGAATCTCTTTGATTTATTGACCCCCCCCCCCTTCCCATTTTTTTTTGTCAGTAAATGATGGGGGACAGGAAACTGTTTACGTCTTTAGTGAGTTTTCAGTGGTGGATTTCTTCCTTCAGTGACTTGCTAATGACCATCTGTCAAGCTTCTATGACATGACCGATTGGGATTAAATTATAATCTAACTTCCGCATCACAAAGTTAATTAATTCAGAGCCATCACATCTGGGTCATATGCTTTAACCTAAACAGTGGACAAAGATCAAGAATCTATTGTCTATAAGTTATTGATCATATTTTGCTACTAATATATTTCAAAGAAGATTGTATAATTCGAGAGTGAAATTGCCTTTAATATGTTTACATGTACAAACATGCTACTGTCACTCTTTTTGCTATTGTAACAAATCCCGACACTAATTGAAAGGGGGAGGGCTAATTCATATTTTATGGAAAAGAGATTGAAACTAAAATGGAATATACTATACTACATGGTTACCTTATTCCCTCCATTACTTTTGATTGATTCCCTTGATCTTAACTTGAGGCCAGTATAGATAAATAAAAAGAGTTTTCCCTGCCCCCCCCCCCCCCATCTCTTCCAAAAATATGCAATCCTTTGCTAAGTCCACTTCTCATGGCCCACCTTCTTAAGTTAATAGATAATTAATTCCACTCTTCACATAAATGTACCTCTGTTAGTCTGTTCTGTTCTTGAAAAGACTTGAATCTTTTCTCTAAGTTCTCTCTTCTTTTAACATGACAAACTCAAAGAGATAATCTTGTGTTAATCGTCCTTACCTGTATACTTCTGAAGATTTGATCGACTAGTTTGGTGGAGACCTGATCCTCTGCTTGCTTCAGTAAATCTCTCGTGACAAGGGATGAGGCAAGCTGGGATATCTGAAAATAGAAAGCCAAGGGGAAGGAAAATAAATAAAGAATCATGACAAAGACACCTCCAGGAAAGAGAAATCCTTTGACTAACATCCTTGACAACTAAAAGCTGCCAGCGTATGTTGTGCACATCAAATATTACAATGTATACATACATCAAGTATCAAGTTTATTTGTCTTCCAGAAATCACATGTAACAAAATATAATAGAGTATAATCATGCATGTAACAGTACAATGTAGAATAAAGAAAGACGAAGAGATCTTGGTAGAAGCACAGCTTGTTAAGTTAAGGTCCCCTCAGATGATATGACAAAGATAACAGATTCATGAATACAAAAACAAATAATATATGGAATATATCAAGCTTTTTAGAAAATACACTCAGAAAACCCAGTTACTAAACTTTTTTGTACAGATCTTGAAGCTAAGAACAATACATATATATGGAGAAGAAAAAAAAAAGTCACCTTTCTGGCTTTCAGCAGAAAATATAAAGCCATGAAGAAACATAAAATGAATGAATGCAGTATATCTTGGTATTTCAAATTAGATTGAAGTCCTATCAATATGAGCGTGGACATACATACAGTAATTCCTTGACACTAGAAAACTCATGTATTTGCTCCATATCATCAATACTATTTTGGATCTCACCACAAAGATTTTGCAGGATATCTTACCGTACAATTACAAATACAATTACAATGTAGCCGTTCCATATTGTAAGTTTCCAGTGGCGAAACAGAAGAGCACTCTACATAAAGATGCTATCATCTCCACAAGAAACTTGTACTACTTCACTGTGCCCAACATTTTATCAGAAAGTGAAACCTCTACATTCATAAGTAACAGATGTTATTTGTACGTGAGTTGTTTTTATGCTATTCATGTTGATCCCTTAATGCAAATCACTTGATCAAAGATCACAGGAAATAGGAATATAGCCATTTCGTAATTCCGTAGCTGCAAATCTTTTCATAATTAATTCCATGTTATTTGAACTGCAAAACCGCAATTATTAATTCGGATTATCCCATCCAAAAAGAGAAAATAACAACATTAATGTTTTTAAAAGGATTATGCACACCTACACACCTAATTTTAGTCTATTTGAATAGATTAATGGAATATGGGAGAGTATAAAAGGAGACCTCGCCCCAAGAAATAGCTTTAGTTATTTTAAGAGATACATGTACAGTATATAGTATTCTTGCCCATTAATCTACAAGATTCCTCACCAAAAAATACATCTCATTTTTCAGCATACTTCCACTTATTATGTGGAGTGAGGTTTCTTTTAAGCTTCATTGCATGTCTATTATCAAACATATCCGCTCAATAATGACCCCATGTGTGTATTATAAACAGATGTTTTCTTGCCAGTTTCATGCTGTGCTTATAGCTATAGGATAAGTTTTTATCATATCATCAACACCTTATATCCTCTGAAAAAGGTGCTATATCAATACAAAATCTTCCTCTTCTTCTCCTATTCCTTCTCCTTCTCCTTCTTCTTCTCCTATTCCTTCTCCTCCTCCTCCTCCTCCTCCTCCTCCTCCTCCTCCTCCTCCTCCTCCTTCTTCTTCTTCTTCTTCTTCTTCTTCTTCTTCTTCTTCTTCTTCTTCTTCTTCTTCTTCTTCTTCTTCTTCTTCTTCTTCTTCTTCTTCTTCTTCTTCTTCTTCTTCTTCTTCTTCTTCTTCTTCTTCTTCTTCTTCTTCTTCTTCTTCTTCTTCTTCTTCTTCTTCTTCTTCTTCTTCTTCTTCTTCTTCTTCTTCTTCTTCTTCTTCTTCTTCTTCTTCTTCTTCTTCTTCTTCTTCTTCTTCTTCTTCTTCTTCTTCTTCTTCTTCTTCTTCTTCTTCTTCTTCTGTATTCAGAAGGATGTTATCTCTGTGTTAAAGTTTATATGAGTCTTCTAGCTTCAAACAGATTATTTTACACTAAAATGTAAAAGGCCAACATTGACATCTCCATTTTTTATTTGAAAGCATTTGTTAACAAAATCACAATTTCATTCAGCAAATATTCGTAATCACAAAATCCCAAGTTTGATCTCTGACATTTCAACGTGGGATATGAACCATCATTTCCAACATTTTCTGTAATGACTGAGCAAATTTGTGGTTCCCCGAAGGCCATATGCCTCTGTTGTCAAGACTTACTCACTGCTGGGAATGGCTCCAGAATCAAAGTAATAAGCTCAATACAATGGCTGGCCAATTAGGCAAAGAGAGGGGGAACTGATAGTTCTTGTCAACACAAATTCAAGCTTGTGATTATCGTTTAATGTTTGGTAGCAGGGAGAAAGAAATAGGTACTCATCGTTGAATTATAAAACAGGAGTCTTTTGGGACTTAGGAAAAAGGGCAAGACATTTAATGTGAGAAAAATATGAACAGTTAGATGACACACCAAACAGAGTTTCTAAGCAACTGTAGAGGGTAAGATAAATCTGAAGGATGAGAATGAGTAATTTGTACAAAACAATGACTTTCAAGTTTACAGCATGATGTAAGTAGGGTATGTTTGCCCCCAAATATGGGACTATCATTTGGGGGCTTTCCGATCCTGCATGAGCTAAGTTGCTCACCACTCATTTTTTTGTTGTCCATTGGTTCGATCTAGCAGTTAAAGGTTTGTACTCTGGTCAGTAGATGTGAGTGATTGACGGGTGTGAAATCCCTGTTCTTCCTGACCAGGAAACAATCTTAATGACAGTGGCGGATCCAGGGGTGGGCCGAAACGGCCGCGGCCCCCACTATTGGCGGCGCAAAAAAATTGAGAAGGAAAAAAAGAGGAAGAAAAAAAAGGGGGGAAAAAGGAGAAGATAAAAGAAAAAGAGAACAAAAAAGTAAAGAAAAGAGAGAGAGAGAGTTCAAAAAAGAGGAAAGAAAAAGAAGAGAGGAGCCGGGGGGAAAGAAAGACAACGAAATGGCACTAAAAATTAGTGACAGTAACGACGAATAAGGGAAAGACAAGGGGAAGGGGGGGGGTGCGTAAAGGCGGATGCATTGAGGGGAGGGGGGGAGGGGGGGAGGGGTGACTGGCCGTATTCTTATTTTTAGGTTACGCGAAACTGAGTCGAAATTATGCTTCTTTTCAAAAAAATCTTAGCATGCTTGTTTATGTTAAGCCGGAGTGCATGAAAAGGTTAGTGTAGAAACACTTCTGAAAAGGCCGCACCCGGCCCCTCCAAAGAACTGCAGAATGGTAATCTATAAATTATTTGGTCATTCTTGATGGCTTGGGAGTCGTTAAAAGGAGGGGGCCGGCCCTACTCAAATGGTAGTGACGGTAACAATGGATAAGGGAATAAGGAGGAAGGGATGCACATGCAGGCGCGTACGCAGGGGGGGGGGGGGGGGGGGGGGTCGAACCCCCCTCAAATTTTTGTCAAGTTGTCAAGTTGGTCCTGATGTGTATAATGCGTAGACCAGGGGTTCTCAAACTTTTTCTTTGACGGTCCAGAAGCGATTTCTATGAAAGCTGTAAGGTCCGAAATGACACTTGTATACTGAAGATAATGAGGCTTGTTTTTGGTCTATATCTGATCCAAGGAGAATTGTTACAGTTTTAAAAAAACAGAACCGCCAGTGCTTCCACTCGTTTAAATAGAGTTTCCTGAAAAATAACATCCAATATCCTGGAATTTGAAGGAATTTTCTTAAAACTTTCAAAATGCCTCTTACGTGGATTTCTTATTTGGATGAATCGCTATGACGTTTTAATATATATTAATTATTGAGTGGGCTTATTTTGCTTTCTAATGGATCCATACAACATGGCAGAGCTTGAGGGGCCTGGCAGAGCCTTTTCAAGAGAGAAATTGTCTTTAGGAGAAAAAATCTTCAATCTGAAGCCTTTTTGTGCTCTTTGAAAATGGCACACTGAATGGGGGCAGTGCAATTTAAATTCCAAGGGATGGATTAGAGTTTTTATCGCTCTTGAAAGTCAAATAGCCCTTTCATTTCAGAAATAAGGCTCTATTTCTCTCTTATAGACAATTTTATGAGATGGATTCTTCAATCTGAAGCCTTTTTGTGCTCTTTGAAAATAGCACACTGAATGGGGGCAGTGCAATTTAAATTTCAAGGGATGGATTAGAGTTTTTATTGTACTGAAAGTCAAATATCCCTTTCATTTCATTTTAGAAATAAACTGTAATACATTCCTTGATATTTAAATTGCGCTGCCCCTATTGTGTCCTCTTTTTAAAGAGCACAACAGAGCCCTCAGATTAGGCAGCAAGTAGCAAAACAAACCTGTAACACTGGACACAACATTCAATGGGATGATGCCCATATCATTGAGTTTGAAACGCACTTCTGGTCAAGAATGGTAGAAGAAGCATCTGCATAAAAAGGATGAATCCTTCACTGAATAGGGATTCTTGCTATACACTTTTACCTTTGTGTAAATAATAAAAGGTCCACAGGCGTGGTTGTTAGAAGCTTAAAGGTAATACAAAGTTTTGGTAAATTTTGAAAATTGGGTAGATAGTGAATCTTTACAAATTTGATATATTTGGATGCCCCTATGGATGTATTATAAGCACTTAAAAAAAATTAATTTGCCAGGAAACCGCCTACTAATTCATATATTTGGTAAATTTGTTTCTCTCATGGTCTGTGAGAGATATAGGGTAGTCCCATATACATCTTTCTGTGTATAGTGCTTGTAACTTTACAAAGAATGGGCCAATTTTTTTATCATTTAGATGATTCCAGAACCTTGCAGATGCTAGATGCTAGATGATCAACCTTTTCTGATCGATTTCACAACGTTTCTTTTACAATGCAATCACATGACCATAACTGGTCTTTACCTTTAAATCTAATTGCTTAGGTGGAATTTGAATCATACAAATGCAAGAAAACCGCAAAGAAGTTCAACTTTAACCATGAACAATTTCTTTAAACTACATGGACATGTAGGTATTATAGCAGTGAAGATGTGCTTTTGTTTAAAAAAAAACATATTTCCTTCTCTGTACTAATATTGGGATTG